TGGGTCCACTGATGGAACCTCTTCTAACCGGTTCGGTAGATTTGACGAACCGGTTCTACCGAATAGGTGCGAACTGGTAGGAACCCACCTCTGGTATATACACAGAAATGCAAAGTCATTTTTGAGATTTTTCTTTTTAAAAAAAAGGATACAGCACAGTGCTTTTGCAAGTGATCCAGCCAGCAAAGTTTCTGTCTGCTGCCCCTTCACTTCAGCTACGATCACAAAGGAATAAAAAGAAATTAAACAGCATATTCTTTACTCATTCCAACTTGCACAGGTTACTGTCAATACCACTGTTTTTCAATCTTAGCAAAATATAGATATAGAAAGGCAGGCAGATGAATCCTATTGAAGGACTAACCGTGTTAGTCTAAGCATTTTCAAACCAAGACTTAAGGGGCCCACAATTTCATATCAGCACGCAGGTCAAACCGACTTATGATTTAATAATACAATACTACATTTTGGGAAGTCAGACCCCTAAAATTTTTGGTGGAAAAAAACAAATATGAAACACCAAATCTATGCAACAAATCCGTTGGCTTCTTCTTACTATTGGACATCAGTTCCTTTATCTCCTCTGCAATGGTTTCATTTATGGTGGCTAATACTTCGTATTTTCCATCTTTGCTACCAGAAATATTTGACTCCCCGGATTCTCCGAAGAGATCGAGGGCTGCCCAGTTTTTTCCAGGAAACAGGAAACGGCTGAGAGAAGAGAAAATAAAATGATGTTAACCGTTTAGCAATTCACTCAACACAACTGCAAAATATTCATCGCTTTCTATTTCATGAAGAAAAATATAACAAAATATCCTTTAGTTTCTTCCTGTTTAGTTTTACATTAAATTTCAGGTTTTTTTTAAAAAAAATTCCTTGTACAATTCTTAACTAGGCATCAGGAGCTTATCTTTCAATAAAAAAAGATTCCTAGAGCAACGATCAACGGGAAACAGAATACCTTTCGTGTATATGACTGGCTATCACAGCAAGTTTGTTGTTACGGTTCATAAATAAATGTGAGTTTCCCAACACCATGGCCGCATCCAGGCATTTTGATAACGTAAGCTGTGAGGAGGAGAAATATCATCTAAGTCTAGAAACTTCCAAATCAGAACCAAACATTCATAACATTTCAAGCCCCATTTGTAAAAAATAAAATAAATTCTATTTATATTCTATTTAATTTTTTAAAAAACTTTTGTATTATGTGTTTCTTTTAATGTTGTACACCACCCTGAGTCCTTGGGAGAAGGGCGGCATATAAANTCTACTTTCTTCCTTCCTCCTCTCCTTCCCCTTCCTTCTTCCCTTGCCTCTCCTTCGCTCCTACTCTTCCTTTTTCCCTTCCTTTTCTCTCCCTTTCATCTTCCCTTCCTTTCCCTTTCCTTTCTCCCTCTCTCCCTTCTCTACATTCCTCCTTCCTCCTCTCCTTCGCCTTCCTTCTTCCCGTAGAAACTGGGAATTTCTCGATTTAGATCGCATACTTAGCAGGAGCCATTTGGCTTCAAGATACGGAAGGGAATTTGCAAACGTCTTACCAAAATCCTGGATTTTATTTCCTGGTTGGCTGCAAGTTGAGCAAGAGGTGGAAACAAAACCAGAGAAGAAAGGATTAGTGGAGCTTCGGTCAATGTTTTAACAATAATAGGACCGATCGATAATATCAGTCTACGTACTTTTACTTTCTTTGGTTACCCTGTGAATATCTGAAGCACACGACATTCAGGAATCATTGGAATTGTATTTTTGAACAGAAAAAAAACATAGTTATAACAGGATGATTTAGGGACGCAATGGCTCGGGGGCTAAGACGATGAGCTTTTCAATCAGAAGGTCGGCAGTTCAGCGGTTCGAATCCCTAGCGCCGCGTAACGAAGCGCACTCCCCTTACTCATCCCAGCTTCTGCCAACTTAGCAGTTCGAAAGCACGCAGAAATGCAAATAGAAAAATAGGAACCACCTTTGGTGGGAAGGTAACAGCGTTCCGTGCTCCTTTGGCATTGTGTCATGCCGGCAAGATGACCACGGAGGCGTCTTCGGACAGTGCTGGCTCTTCGGCTTTGAAACAGAGATGAGCACCGCCCCCTCAAGCCGGGAATGACTAGCACATATGTGCGAGGGGAACCTTTACCTTTAACAGGATGTTACTAAGTATACTTCACTAATGGACTGCTTGCTCTCCTACAAGAACTTAGAGCAGTGTGGGGGGAAAATAAAAACAGTCCCGGGATAAAATGGTGGGAATAAAACCAGCAGCTCTTCGAAGTCAATACAACTTAAAAGGAGGTTGAAAAAGAAGATGGATTCAGCCAGGTGGTCCTTAATGTCCTGAGGCTCAACATGGGTATATACCAGTGGTGGGTTTCAAAAATTGTTCAAACCTACTGTGGGTGTGGCCTCCTTTGTGGGAGTGGCTTGCTGCCCCATGTGACCGGATGGAAGTGGCTTGCCGCCCATGTGACCGGATATGAAGATGCTGACGACACTTATCAGAACCACCTTAAATTATCTCACACACAGCACTGGCATGCATAAGAATATGATNTTTGTAATTTGTATTGCATTGCATTTGTAATTGCAATTTGTATTGTAATTGTAATTTGTATTTGTATTGTATCTGCCACCCATGCCTTCATCCAGTCAGGCATCCCAAGCAGCTGCTGCGAACATCCAGATGTTGAAAGCTACTATGGGGCGTGAAGCCACTCTCCACATGCTCAGAGGCGGCCACGCTTCAGAATAAAAACCCGGCCTCCCCGCAACCGAGGAACCGAGGGGCCCGGAGCCGGGAAAGGCGGGAGGCATTCCGCCCAACCCCGAGTTGAAATCCAGAATTCGAACCCCAAACTCACCCCCGCTCATGGCGGCGCAGACGGGCCGCCGGGGTCGCCCGAAAGTGACGTCACGGGCACGCCGGTGCTTCTTTTTGGACGTTCCCCACCCCGCGCTCGTATTGTTGTGACGAGCGCAACCGGGAAAGTCTTCCGGCGAGGTGGGCGAAGCCTTGCGACAAACGTTCCGGGGAGGCGGCAGCAGCGTCGGAAATCGCCCGAAGTTTCCCTTGTTTATTCCCGCCATGAACGAAGCGGGTGAGCCGGGGGGACGGACGGACGGGAGCCCCGAAACGGGCATTGTTTTGAATTTCGGTTTTGAACTGGGTTGGGTTTTTTTTAGCCTGCCTGGGGGAGACGGGAGTCCCTCGCCCCGGGAGCCAAAGAGAAACCGCAGCTGGAAGTTAAACAGGTCGAGTTAAAGAGGTGGAAGCGTCAGGTCTCTTGCAGACTGGAGGGTGTGGTGGGAAGGGTTTCCTTTCGGGTCAGCAACCTTCTGCCGTGGCGTTTCTTTAGCATTGCAAAATGAATGTCGAGTCCTAATTATTTTATTATTATTATTCCTCTTTTTAGAGCCTCCTGTCTCTCTTGTCTGCCTGTCTATCTATCTTCCGTCCATCCATCATCTNTTTAATTTTTTAAAAAACTTTTGTATTATGTGTTTCTTTTAATGTTGTACACCACCCTGAGTCCTTGGGAGAAGGGCGGCATATAAATCTAATAAACCTAAACCTAAAATTAGAAACGATTAATTTGTTTAAATAGCAATAGCTCTTAGACTTTTATACCGCTTCACAGTGCTTTATAGCCCTCTCTAAACGGTTCACAGAGTCAGCCTCTTGTCCCCAACAATCTGGGTCCTCATTTTGCCCACCTCGGAAGGACAGACGGCTGAGTCAACCTTGAGCTGGATTGAACTCCTGGCAGACGGCAGAGTTGGCCAGCAATGCTGCATTGTAACCACTATACCACTATGGCTCTTCCTTCGTTCTTTCCTCCCTCCCTCCCTATCTTCCTTCCTTCCTCTCCCTTCCTCTCTATCTTCCTCCTTTCCTATCTCCCTCCCTTCCTATCTTCCTTCCTCCCACCCTCCTTTCCTATCTTCCATCCATCTTTCCTCTCCCTCCCGACTTAGCACTAGCACTTAGACTTATGTATCACTTTACAGTGCTTTCCAGTGGTTTACAGAGTCAGCCTCTTGCCCCCAACAATCTGGGTCCTCATTTGACCCACCTCGGAAGGACAGGAGGCTGAGTCAAACGTGAGCCTGGTGGGATTCGAACTGACAAACTGCTGGCAGCTGGCAGTCAGGCAGAAAGAGCCTGCAGTACTGCACTCTAACCACTGTGCACACCATGGCCCATTTAAAGAAATCCCTTTAGGTGGAAACCCAACCTATTGTGGTTGGGTCCTTTATGCCCAAGATATCTTACCTCTGAGCCCAACAAGGCCTGTTTGCCCCACCAGATAGGGTTTGCGTCAACGATAATGACTAGGAGATTCACCTCGTCGTCTACAAAAAGAAGATAAAGCACAGAATTCAGAAGGCGAGACCCAGACCAGAACTGGGTATGTCTAGTTTAATAGAAAGAAGGACTAGAGGGGGACATGATAGCAGTGTTCCAATATCTCAGGGGTTGCCACAAAGAAGAGGGAGTCAAACTATTCTCCAAAGCACCTGAGGGCAGGACAAGAAGCGACGGATGGAAACGAACCAAGGAGAGAAGCAACTTAGAACCGAGGAGAAATTCCCTGTCAGTTAGAACAATTAATCAATGGAACAACTTGCCTCTAGAAGTTGTGAATGCTCCAACACTGGAAGTTTTTAAGAAGATGTTGGATAACTATTTCACTGAAGTGGTGTAGGGTTTCCTGCCTGAGCAGAGTGTTGGACTAGAAGACCTCCAAGGTCCCTTCCAACTCTGTTATATTATATCTTATCTTA